CACTTCACGTGGCCTCAGGGTGCACATAGCCTGGCACAAGCGTCGTGGTGACGTCACCGCCACTTAGTGGCGAATGGCGGTTGTTGTTGTTGTACACGCGTGTGTGTACACGTGTGTGTGTGTGTGTACATGCGTGCGTGTGTGTACACGTGTGTGTGTGTACACACGTGTGTGTGTACACCTGTGTGTGTGTATACGTGTGTGTACACGCGTGTGTGTACACGTGTGTGTATACGTAGGAGTTAGTTTCGGGTACTTTGTTGTTAAACAGTTGCTGAGCATAGGCACAAAAGTCAAACGAGCGGTCAGCAACTAACGGCAAATGTCAAAATGTAGTTAGAATGTAGTTAGGGTTCGATGTGTCTTGAATTGAGCCGAGGTCGTTGTCATCAAGAACTTGTGGGGATGAGGAGAAGAGGGGACGGGAGGGAATTGCAGAGCTGATGGCGGCAAGTGGGAATTTTCGTGTTGCTTCGGGAGCGTTTGGGGGAGGGGTGAGAGGTGTGCTTCGTCTATGCAGAGGATGATGCTCTGGGCAATAAAAAATAATTAATCGGGCGAGTGCGATTAGCGAGTGCGCGGCGTTTGTGGAGCCTTTTGGTAAGAGCACGGTTATCAGTTTGCTGAAGTTTGTAGTCGCTTACTGACCCCTGTGACCCCCCTACTGGACGTGTGTGGAAAAGAGCTTCATAGCTCCTCGGATTCCTCCTCCTGCAGTCTACATACAGATCGTGAGACTCTGCATCGCGAGGACTCGGGTGGTCAGCCTCTCTGAGTGCGCGGTGTTTCGGGGCTGCGTGGTGTACAAAGCAGCACGGTGTTGTAGCTTTGTACAGCCTCTTAAGTAGCAGTGCACGTTGTTTAGTGACAGCGTGGTGAAGCAGATTGTAACAGCGAAGACTATGGGGGGGTCAGCCTGGTGGGGGTGGGTAGGTGGTGGGGGTGGGTAGGTGGTGGGGGTGGGTAGGTGGGTGGGTGGTGGGGGTGGGTAGGTGGGTGGGTAGGTGGTGGGGGTGGGTAGGTGGGTGGGTGGTGGGGTGGGTAGGTGGTGGGTGTGTGGTGGGGGTGGGTAGGTGGGTAGGTGGGTGGGTGGTGGGGGTGAGTAGGTGGTGGGGTGGGTAGGTGGTGGGGGTGGGTAGATGGGTGGGTAGGTGGGTGGGTGGTGGGGGTGGTAGGTGGGTAGGTGGGTGGGTAGGTAGGTGGGTAGGTGGGTGGGTAGGTGGGTCGGTGGTGGGGGTGGGTCGGTGGTGGGTCGGTGGTGGGGGTGGGTAGGTGGTGTGGTGGTTAGGTGGGTGGTTAGGTGGTGGGGGGTGGGTAGGTGGGTCGGTAGTGGGGTGGGTAGGTGGGTGGGTGGTGGGGGTGGGTAGGTGGGTCGGTTGTGGGGGTGGGTGGGTAGGTGGTGGGGGTGCGTCGGTGGTGGGGGTGGGTAGGTGGGTGGGTGCTGTGTAGTGGGTGGGTGGTGGGGGTGGGTGGGTAGGTGGTGAGGGTGCGTCGGTGGTGGGGGTGGGTAGGTGGGTGGGTGCTGTGTAGTGGGTCGGTGGTGAGGGTGGGTGGGTAGGTGGTGGGGGTGGGTAGGTGGGTGGGTGGTGGGGGTGGGTAGATGGGTAGGTGGTGGGTAGGTGGGTTGGTTGTGGTTAGGTGGTCGTGGTGGTGGGTGGGGGTGGGTGGGTTGGTCAGCGTGTGTGAGTGCGCGGCGTCTATGAAGTACGCGGTAGGCGGAGTGGCCCCCCCACCCACCCCCACCACCCACCCACCTACCCAACCCCACCACCGACCCACCTACCCACCCCCACTACCGACCCACGTGTGTGTGTGTGCTTGTATACCATCAATAGGTAAACTCCCCCCCACCCGCGCCAAACGGCAAGTCCACCGGCACGTACACCACCTCTTTCCTAAAATCCGCCAATCAAATGCTAATTTTTATGCTAATTTCTTCGTCAGAACACCTTGTTTGCTCGCACACAGTTTAAAGGTCCGCTGTCTGAGCGTGGTTGTGTTTCGCTAAATTCTCCTGTTTGATGAGTACTAGGTGCCTCGGTGAATGTATATGCTCTGACTTTAACATAGCTATTTCTGTGACCAGTTACAAGCTAATCACTCAGTTATTTCAATGCTAAATTCTATGCTAATTCCTTTGTCAAGGGGTACCTCTGCCGATGTGTATACTTTAACTTAGCTATTTCAATGAGCCATTTCAATGGTAATTATATGCTAATTCCTTTGTCAAGGCACTTTGTGTTTTTCTTCTCACACAGCTTAAAGGTCGTGATCTAAGCGTGGCTTCTCTCACTCCAGCGCTGTCCTCCAGACAGTCTCGTCCCTTCACCTGATGAAGGCTGCTTGTGTTGTGGCCGAAACGTCGTGATTTTTTGTTATTTTATTTTCACCTACGTGACTTTACCCAATAGAACCAAAGAGTATGCACTCACACACTCACACAAAGACCCACGGACTCACACAGAGACGCACAGAGACTCACACAGAGACCCGGAGACTCACACAGAGACCCACACACTCACACAGAGACCCATGGACTCACACAGAGACCCACAGACTCACTCACACAGAGACCCACAGACTCACACATAGACCCACAGACTCACACAGAGACGCACAGAGACCCACAGACTCACACAGAGGCCCGGAGACTCACACAGAGACCCACATACTCACACAGAGACCCATGGACTCACACAAAGACCCACAGACTCACTCACACAGAGACCCATAGACTCACACATAGACCCACAGACTCACACAGAGACGCACAGAGACCCACAGACTCACACAGAGACCCGGAGACTCACACGAACCCACAGACTCACACAGAGACCCACAGACTCACACAGAGACCCGGAGACTCACACAGAGACCCACAGACTCACACAGACTCACACAGACACCCACTGACTCACACATGGATCCACAGACTCACACAGAGACTCTCACAGAGACCCACAGACTCACAAATAGACCCACACACTCACACAGAGACCCACCGACTCACACAGAGACCCACAGACTTCCACAGAGACCCACAGCCTCAAACATGAATCTACAGACTCACACAGAGACCCACAGACGCACACAGAGAACCACACACTCACATAGAGACTCACACGAACCCACAGACTCACACAGAGACCCACAGACTCACACAGAGACCCACACACTCACACAGAGACTCACACGAACCCACAGACTCACACAGAGACCCACAGACTCACAAGAACCCGCAGACTCACACAGAGACCCACAGACTCACACAGAGACCCACAGCCTCACACAGAGACCCACAGACTCACACAAAGACCCACAGACTCACACAGAGACCCACACTCACACAGACTCATACAGACACCCACAGACTCAAACATGGATTCACAGACTCACACAGACACCCACAGACTCAAACATGGATTCACAGACTCACACAGATACTCACACAGAGACCCACAGACTCACACATAGACCCACATACTCACACAGACACCCACAGACTCATACATGGATCTACAGACTCACACAGAGACCCACAGACTCACAGAGACCCGCAGACTCACACAGAGACCCACAGACTCACAATAACCCAAAGACTCACACAGACACCCACAGACTCACACAGAGACCCACAGCCTCACACAGAGACCCACAGACTCACACAGAAACCTACAGACTCACACAGAGACCCACAGACTCACACAGACACCCAAAGACTCACACAGAGACCCGGAGACTCACACAAAAACACCACGCACTCACACAGAGACCTACAGACTCGTACAGAGACCCACACACAGAGAGACCCACACATTCACACAGATACCCACAGACTCACACAGATACCCACAGACTCACACATGGATCCACAGACTCAAACAGAGACCCGCACACTCACATAGAGACTTACACGAACCCACAGACTCACACAGAGACCCAAAGACTCACACAGAGACCCACAGGCTCACACAGAGACCCACAGACTCACACAGAGACTTGCACACTCACACAGAGACTCACACGAACCCACAAACTCACACAGAGACCCACAGACTCACATAGAGATCCACAGACTCACACAGAGTACCCACAGACTCACACAGAGACCCACAGACTCACACAGAGACTCACACAGAGACCCGGAGACTCACACAAAAACACCACACACTCACACAGAGACCAACACACTCGTACAGAGACCCACACACACAGAGTCCCACACATTCACACAGAGACCCACAGACTCACACAGAGACCCACAGACGCACACATGGATCCACAGACTCACACAAAGACTCACACAGAGACCCACACACTCACACAGAGACTTACACGAACCCACAGACTCACACAGAGACCCACAGACTCACACAGAGACCCACAGACTCACACAGAGACTCACACAGAGACCCGGAGACTCACACAAAAACATCACACACTCACACAGAGACCTACAGACTCGTACAGAGACCCACACACAAAGAGACCCACACATTCACACAGAGACCCACAGACTCACACAGAGACCCACCGACTCACACAAGGATCCACAGGTTCACACAAAGACTCACAGAGCCCCACAGACTCACACATAGACCAACACACTCACACAGAGACCCACAGACTCACACGGCCTTGGTACACGTGTATATATATAGGCTGTAGTGTATACTGTAGTGTACACAGTATGTATATATACTATTATTCTGTAGTGTATACTGTAGTGTAAACACTGTATACTGTATAGGCTGTAGTGGGTCACAATAACACCGTGGACCTTAAAAACGGACAAAACATCTAACAGGCGATGTTTCAGGCAACAGTCGTCTATCACAGCACAATATAGCCGCCTCATAAATTACCTTGTAACTTGACTACACGGCAAAAAACAATACTCAATTCGCCTTTTTTTAATATAAATCGGTCCATTTAAAAACATTTGGTTCGGGACAAGAGTGTAACGTTTCTCTTAACTTTAATGAATCTTCGCTTTGCAGGTGGGTGTCGGCGTGGGAAACAAAACGCGAGAACGAGATGGACGGCAGCTGCCACCACAATGAGACGATCACCTTCTTCTACAACAACATCAAAAGGCCACTGTACGACGAGTGGTCTGTCACCAGCGTGCTGGTCATGGTGCTCGGCATCACCATGTGCCTCTTCATCATGCTGGCCAACGTCCTCGTCATGCTCGCCGTATACATCAACAAGAAACGCCACCACCCCATCTACTTCCTCATGGCCAACCTGGCCGTGGCGGATTTCTTTGCGGGAGCGGCGTACGTCTACCTGATGTTCAACACGGGACCCAACACTCACAAGCTGTCGCTGCCGACCTGGATGCTACGCCAGGGGCTGATCAACACGAGCCTCACGGCCTCCGTTGCCAGCCTCCTGGCCATAGCCATAGAGCGGCACATCACGGTGTTCCGGATGCAGATGCATTCGCGGATGAGCGAGCGGCGCGTCGCGGTCGTCATTGCGATCATCTGGCTCGTGTCCATCATCACCGGTGCCATTCCCAGCATGGGCTGGAACTGCATCTGCAACATCAGCACGTGCTCCACCATGGCGCCCCTGTACAGCACCAGCTACGTCATCTTCTGGGCCGGCTCCAATCTCTCCACATTCCTGATCATGGTGGGACTCTACAGTCACATCTTCGTGCACGTGTGGAGGAACACGATACCCGTGCCGCAGAATACCTCCAGGTCCACCCAGAGGAAAAAGGCCACCATGAGCTTGCTCATAACGGTCACCATCATGTTGGGTAAGTGTTGTGGGTCTGGGCAGCAGGTGCTCATATTCGACAACACGATTCACATTCGTCTTCGAGCGTGTGTGCATGTGTACAGCCCCTTGTGTCGATCCGGTGCATGTGTAGGGAGTCATTTTGTAGTGTGGGTTGTGTAAAGGTGGGGTAAATAGACGTGGGAGCATAGAAAGTGTAGCACAACAATGGAGATTGTTGCACTGGCCACCATGTAGCCTCCGGGGCAGGCTACATCAATCTGACGTGCGTGACAGTCGCCTAACCAAGCACCGTCTTGGCTCAACACTCTGCTCAGCTTCTGATCGGATTTGGTGAATGTTCTCTGGGTGATTTTGGTTGTGGGCAACATTCATGGCTCATATCGCATGCCGAACAGCTTTAGGGGAAACAGTGGCCCAGTGGTTAGCGTACTGGCGCTATGAACCCAGCGACTGCTGTTCGATTTCGAACCACGGCTAACGGTGGCGAGTCGTTATCGGCACCAGGTGCGGCACCTCCCCAGTCGTTTCACCAAACTGCACCGGCTAGGTTGAAGTACGCAGAGGATTGACGAAGGCCTGTGAATTATCATTCGTACGACGACTATTCTAGCACAGCGGTTGAAACAACGGGGCAAAGTTTTTTTTTTATCTCCCCCCCCCACCGCCTCTGTCCACCCGGCAGTACGTAGGGGTCTAGCCACAGTTTGTCGATCGGCAGGTCTGGGTGTAGCGAGGTAAAGTGTGGTTCCTTGTCTGGCCAACGGTGGAAAAGCAGGTGGGAAAAGAAGCCTCTAAAGGGCCTCTCCACAGTTCTCCTCTAGTGGAGGGGCCCTCCTTGCAGCAGTCATGGAGCAAGCCATTGCAGGGTTGTGCCTTGACCTTCCACGGGTTTCAGGGAACAACGCTGATCTTGTTCCACACGTTGCTATCAAAATGCCTGACTCGTGTGTCTCGTGCCGTCGCCTCTCAGGAGCCTTCATCGTGTGCTGGACGCCAGGCCTGGTGATTCTGCTGCTGGATTCGTTCTGCTCGGACTGCAATGTCCTGGCCTTTGATAAGTACTTCTTGCTCATAGCGGAGCTCAACTCCGCCATGAACCCCATCATCTACTCGATTCGGGACAAAGAGATTGTCGCCACTTTGCAGCGAATCCTGTACTGCCAAAAGGCAGAAGCCATCATCACCAATGGCTCCGATAACGTCTCCAATAAATCAACGTCCACGGCGAATCACAACCTGGTCACGCCTATCAGTCACGTGACCACCACAAGTGCGATGAAGATGAATCAGTTTAAATTTTGATTTAAAGCTTTCGTGACTGCAGTAATTCATATTCTTAGTTTTTTCGGTAAAGTCACGTTGAAGAGAAACAACAAAATAACAAAATATATATAAAACAATAAAAAATTCTCACGACGTTTCGACCATAACTCAAACGGTCATCATCAGGTGTGTCGGTTTGCATAAATTATTTTTTATAAATAAATAAATGTGCCGTTTTAAAAAATAATTTATGCAAACCGACACACCTGATGATGACCGTTTGAGTTATGGTCGAAACGTCGTGAGAATTTTTTATTGTTTTATATATATTTTGTTATTTTGTTGTTTCTCTTCAACGTGACTTTACCGAAAAAACTAAGAATATGAATCAGTTTGTCGTCTAATAACTAATTGGGCTAACGATGCATGGTTTTCCTACCTGATGATGATGATTGCTTGTGTTGCAATCGAAACGTCGTGATTTATTTTATTGTATTACCTACGTGACTTTACAAAAAGAACCAAAGAGTATGTTTCTCTTTGCGATAAGATTTCATTGAACCTGGGTACAATGTATGTGTGTGTGCACCCTTGTGGAGATAATGCATACTAGAATTTAAATACAAACCTAGTGGCATTTGGTACGCTTCGTACCAAGACAGTTATATATCCATACGGTTTTATTTTCTGGGTGAGATCACTTCAATATAAGTGTCGTTAAACCCGCCAACCAATTGGTATGGTGTCATGTAAATAGAACGTGGCCAATTCCTTACTAGTACAGCACACCGGTATGTTTGAGGGTAAATAGAACGTGGCCAATTCCTTACTAGTACAGCACACCGGTGCGTTTGAGGGTAAATAGAACGTGGCCAATTCTTTATTAGTACAGCACACCGATGTGTTTGAGAGTAAATAGACGTGGCCAATTCTTTACTAGTACAGCACACCGATTTGTTTGAGGGTAAATAGACGTTGCCAATTCTTTCCTAGTGTAGAGGAGTAGTGGAGGACGTCATGTCACTCAGGGGGGTGAAAAGGGATGATGTCAGAAGTTACGGGGGATATATAAGGGGGAACCCGTGATGTAGAGGGGGTTGTCGCGAAGGGCCAGGAACGGAGAGAGTTGTGGAGTTGGGATCCAGGTTAGGGGGAATCAGCGCCAGGCGAGTGTGCTACTTCACCCGGCCGACCGAGTTGGGTGATCCCTCGGTTGGTGCTGGGGGGGGGGAGATCACGTATAGCCTGGGTGGAGCTAGGGGCCTCCCGGTACCCTTTCCCCTGGGGAGAAATTAGGGTTGTCACCTGTTGGGCGTAAGCCTTTAATAAGTTACCGGCAGTAGCCCTTAATAAAACTTGGTATCAGCCACTACTAAAGAACCGTGTCCGTGTCGTCAATTGCACCTCAACAACTGGTGCCAGAAGTGGTTTCGTTCCGCGCCGCAATGCCTAGATCCGGCGCGAAACGAAAGACTACGCCTAGGGTGCACCAGGGCGACAAGGACGTCGGCGAGCTGGCGATGATCCCGGAGACCGGGGGCCCGGTGATGTTCCCCGTGGAGATGGTCCAGTCGGGGCCAGAAGAGGCGGCGGTCGGGGGAGCTGCCGCGCCGCCGTCGGACGAGTGGTGCGCCATCGCGGCCAGGCTGGAGACGCTGCAGCTCACGATGGCGCAGCTCGCCGTCGCTTTGGCAGAGGTGGGGGACCGCGTACACTCGGCGGGCGGTGATTTTTGCCAAAACCGCGGGATCGCCGACATCGCGAATCCTGCCAAAACCATAATTCCCGCCAACGCGCTGCCGGGTGTGCCGCGGCAATCGGGCGCCATTTTTTATGCGCCGCCGGATCCAGCCGCCATTGTCGCTGCGATGCAGGAACCGGCCGCCATTGTTGGCGCGACGCCGGAACCGGCTTCGCATCATACTATCGTCGGTTTCGTTCGCGATTTTGCGACTATTGCGAAGCCACTGCACGCCCTCTCGGCCAAAGGTACAAAATTTCGCTGGGGGATGGAGGAGGAAAACGCCTTTGTGGCGCTTCGCACGGCCCTGGCGGATGCGCCGCCCTTGGGGTATCCCGATTTCTCTAAACCCTTCTCGACACCGACGCCAGTGACACGGGCATTGGAGCCGTCTTGGCCCAGGTGATCGATGGGGTGGAACAGGTGGTGGCCTATTGTCTCCCACTGAGCAGCGGTACTGCGTCACCAGGAGGGAGCTGCTGGCTTTTGTTTTTTTTGTCCAGCTGTACCGGCCGTATTTGTATGGTCGCCGGTTCACCGTCCGGACTGACCATGCAGCCCTGCAGTATTCCCTGTGAATTGACCAGCCCTCGGGTCAGCTGTCCCGCTGGCTCGAGGCGCTCCAGGAGTACCCCTTCGATGTCATCCACAGGAAGGGGACTCGGCATGGGAATGCGGACGGCCTTTCCAGGCTGCCCCCGGACAGCGGGTGCGCTTGTGCCCTGGGTTCCAGCCGCTGTAAGGCCCCAGTGAACACTGCGGCCCAGTTGGTCGCATCGGCCCGAAGCGGCACCCCCTCCGGGTGTGGCATTGCATTGCCTGTTGATTTTGGCCTGGGACTCCCCCGGGAGGTATGGTCCAAGTTGCAGATGGAGGATTCCTCTCTGCTGAGGCTGCGACGCCGGGTTGGGTCAAAGGCCCGTAGCTCGGTTCCGTCGGCGGCCCCGGTGATCGTAGTACATGACGGCCTCCTCATGTGTTGGGATGCCCAGTTGGAATGCTATTGTGTGGTGGTGCCCATTGGCTTACGAGGAAAATTGACCCGGGTTATTCATGAAAAACTTATGCACTTCGGCTACCATACGACCTTGTTGACCCTTAAACGGAATTACTATTGGCCGGGTGTGGAGGATGATGTGGCTCTGATTTTGAAAGGTTGCCACGACTGTGCGCGGAGGAAGGCCCCTGTTGGTCAGGATCGGGCGCCGCTGCAGTCCATCCGGGTTTCTCGTGTCAATGAGCTCGTGGCACTCGACATTCTGGGGCCATTCCCTGCATCCCATCGGGGCCATAGGTACCTCTTGGTGGGCGTGGAGTATCTCACACGTTGGCCTATGGCGTGGCCTCTGGTGGACCAATCGGCCTCGTCCATCACTGAGGCGTTGTTCAGGGGTACGTCCTTGACAAAGGGGCGCCAGAACAGCTCTTGGCGGATCAGGGGCGGAATTTTTCTTCCCGTTTGCTCAAGAAGGTCTGTGACCTCCTTGGGACGAAGAAGGTCCACACCTCGCCCTACCACCCCCAGTCCGACGGGATGGTAGAGCGATTAAACCGCACGCTCACGTCCATGCTGTGTCATCATGTGAGCACGTCCAAATTGGACTGGGACCTGTTCATCCTGGGGGTGCTGGCCACGTACAGGTTAGCTCCTCATGCCTCGACGGGGTTCTCACCATTTTACCTCATGTATGGAAGAGAACCCGAACCCCTGATGCACATCCAACTGGACCTCGGGCCTGCCAAAAAGGGTTCGCCTGTTCCCATCCAGATGAGGATTGCGCTCGATCGGCTGCGCGAGGCGCGGTTGGCGGCGTTAGATAATTCGGCCAGCCGATAGGCGGCCTCCGAGCGTCTGCCCAAACACCAGGCTGTCGGCCGCCCGTGGGAAAAGGGCCAGTTGGCGTGGCTGCACTGCCCCCAAGTGCCGGTGGGTACGTCTCCTAAATTACATCGCCCATGGCAGGGCCCTGTCGAGGTCGTGGAGGTCCGCTGTCCGCAATGTGTCCGCATCCGGTGGGGCCGTCGTCACTGGACCGTGCACCCGTCGCAGCTCAAGCGGGTGGTGCCGCCGGGGCTCCCTGATTCATCCCCATTTTTGGAGCGGTCGGCGATTGCTGCGTCCGACGAGCCGGGCCGCAGGGGTCATGGAAATGCGAGCGATGCCCTGCCCTTGTGTATGCCCGCAGAGCCACCGACAGTGACGCCGCCAACAGCGGGCCGTCCGGGGGGTGTCCCGGCGGCGACCCTGCCTCCCTCCAGGCCACCGCCCGGTCCGGACACCGACGCCACAGGGAGCAGTGGGCTGCCGTTAGAGGCGCCAGCGGAGCCCCTGCCAGTGGTGCCGCCGGTGACACCTTAGCTCAGCCACGTGCCGGCGGGCTCGGCTTTGGCCGGCGCACCGTCGCCTCAGGCGGCCGACACCACACGGGGAGCAGGCCGCCGGCGGCGGGCACGCGCTCATGGGGCGTGCGCATACACTGACGGCCCGCGGAGTCGTCTACTTCGATCCCCTGCCTTGTCGCCACTTACGTTGCCGGGTGGTGACTGTCCAGACTTTTCTGATCCCGTGCTGCCCTAGTGTTGTGTTCTGCTAGCAGCCGGGGTTGTCTCTATACGCATGCGTCCTTGGGGTTTCTGGTAAGGGTGGCTTCCCGCCAAATGGACTCCTCTCGCATAATTGTTGCAGACGGTTCGGCTGGGTTTTTTTCACGGGGGGGGGGGGGGGGTGAAAAGGGATGACGTCAGAAGTTACGGGGGATATATAAGGGGGAACGCGTGACGTAGAGGGGGTCGTCGCGAAGGGCCAGGAACAGAGAGAGTTGGGGAGTCGGGATCCAGGGTAGGGGGAATCAGCACCAGGCGAGTGTGATACTTCACCCGGCTGACCGAGTTGGGTGATCTCTCGGTCGGTGCTGGGGGGGGAGATCACGTATAGCCTGGGTGGAGCTAGGGACATCCCAGTACCCTTTCCCCTGGGGAGATGTTAGGGTTGTTACCTGTTGGGCATAAGCCTTTAATAAGTTACCGGCAGTAGCACTTAATAAACCTTGACATCAGCTCCTACTAAAGAACCATGTCGTCAGTTGCACCTCAACACTAGTACAGCACACCGGTGTGTTTGAGGGTAAATAGAACGTGGCCAATTCTTTACTAGTACAGCACACCGGTGTGTTTGAGTGTGATTAGAACGTGGCCAATTCTTTACTAGTACAGCACACCAGTGTGTTTGAGGGTAATTAGAACGTGGCCAATTCTTTACTAGTAAAGCACACCGGTGTGTTTGAGGGTAATTAGAACGTGGCCAATTCTTTAATAGTACAGCACACCGGTGTGTTTGAGGGTAAATCCATAAC